GTTAAAGACTGGTAGACCATAAGATAAAACCAAATCAAGAGTGTGACCATGTTCATGAGTAGCACCAGTCACAGACTGCACAAAATTAAAAGAATCAATAACATTAAGAAATGACTGAGCCATAGGTGAAGTCGGACAGCAGACATGAATATTAAAATCACCAACAATGAGAACTCGGTCATATTTTGGCATGATATCGGCCAAAAAATCAGAAAAGTCATTTATAAAATTTTTGTTATACTTTGGTGGCCGATAGACTGCAGCACACAACACAGTGTGAGAGCTGCCAAGTTCAAATAGGCTCAGCTCAAAGCTACTAAACGAGGGTACGGGCAACTGCTTGCAAGTAAAACTACTTTTAAAAACAGTCACTATTCCTCCACCAGAGCCCGACATTTGATCTCTTGTCCTTTTTTTCCAGACTTTCCTTCAAGGACCAATTTTATTTATTTATTTTTTATTTATTTGTAATTTGATCCTGTTTTAAAATGCCTCGCATTGAGAATGACATCAAGCTGGACTTCAAGGATGTTCTCCTGCGGCCCAAAAGAAGCACACTCAAGTCCAGGAGTGAGGTGGGTCTGTCCAGCTGTGGATTCTTTCAGTATCCACCACAATCTGCCCTGCATTTTATCTTCGTATTTTAGAGATAGAACAAAATCCCATGTTTATGCATGTTGCCCAGATATTCCCTAAATAAAATAGCTCAAATTTGAGCAAATTAAATGTAAATGTAAAAGAAAAGGCTTCCCACAGCATGATGATGACGCCACCGTGCTTTTACTGTATGGAGGGTATATTTAAATTGCTGAGATAATTTTACCCTCTGAAAATGTTTTTGTTTGTTTTTAGTACGCAGTCCAGAAAAGTGAATAGGTTTATGTCATGTTCTGTGACCAAAAGGAATCTGTCAAAGTGGACATTCTTTAATCAGTGCCAGGTTGCCCATCTCTGAAATGGCTAGTTTTTATAGGCTTGTTCCAATTTAATGTTACACTTTTATTTTTCCAGCCAAAGGTAGAGCTTCTATAAATAATTTAGTGTAAAACAATCTAATCCATGTGTTTGCTGAGTCTCCTGTCACAATCTGCGCTGGTTATTGAGTGACTTTTTCTCCACTCTTCCTTAAAGATTAGCTTTGTGAAGCCCATGATGACGGTAGCTCCTCCAGTTACCTTTGTCCTTTAACTTTTATCCCACTACTTTTCTTTCTGTAGTTTGATGTCAGAGTGAGATGTTCAAAGCTTTAGATACTGTTTTACAACCTAAAGCTTCTTCATACTTCTACAGTGTTGAATGTATCTATGAAAACTGGACAAGATTCTTGCCCTAAAGATGACTGAGCCAGTGCAGCTGATCCAGACACCAAAACAATCACAGTTATTTAACTGATTATATCTGTGTCACATTAAACATGTTATTTCCTCTTTACAAAAATGCAGGATTTTATCCATTTTATTGATATTTTAAGAAAAAAAGAATGAACTGGATGGTTTAGTTTGTTGTATTTATTTTCCTTAATTTCTTCCTTGATTTTTAGAAAACGTTTATGTATTTTTCTCTCTCAAATATTGACTGATTCTTTGGACTAACCTCTATTTTAGTCTTTAAAACTTCTCCATCACTGAGATGTTGTTGGCTTTTCAAATCTAGGTGGACCTGATGAGGAGCTTCACCTTCAGGAACTCCAAGGGAAGCTATAGAGGGATTCCCATCATCGCCGCCAACATGGACACCGTGGGGACCTTTGAGATGGCCGTGGCTCTTCACCAGGTGGATCAAAACGTTAAACAATGCCATATCATGCACAGTTTCTTTATTATTATTATTTATCGGTACAACACCAGATAGTTAAAGGGTATTTATTGAGTTGCTTTGATAAAACCGAAGGTTCTAATGTTGTTTTTTCCCCCATTTTGATGAACAGCTAATAGTGAGTAATAGTGATTTTTACATGCTTTATATTGGTCCATTGTTTAATTTTATTTTTTCTTGTCCTCTAGTTTGCTCTCTTCACTACAATCCACAAACATTACTCTCTGGATGAGTGGTCAGAGTTTGCCTCAAAACACCCTGAGTGCCTGGAGGTATTAAAGTCATTCACTTATGACTCATCTCACACCCTCAGTCTGTCTTTAATGTCTCCTGTTTGAGAATATTTTCTGCTTGTTTCGTCCCCAGAGTGTCGCCGTCAGCACGGGGACCGGAGAGGGCGACTTTGAGAAGATCTCTGCGGTGGTGGAGGCTGTGCCGCAGCTCAAGTACATCTGTGTAGACGTGGCAAACGGCTACTCTGAGCACTTTGTTCACTTCGTCAAAGACGTCCGGCAGAAGTTTCCTTCGCACACCATCATGGTCAGTAAATGTCTGAAACGCCTAAGGTCCGACTCTTATAGTGATGCTTTCTGGACACTTTTATTTATTTATTTTTATTTTATCTGCTGATCAGGCAGGAAACGTGGTAACAGGAGAGATGGTTGAAGAACTGATTCTTGCTGGAGCTGACATCATTAAAGTGGGCATCGGACCAGGTGATCCTCATTCCATTCCACCATTTCAAAGCCTCCTTGGTTAATCATTACCAGCTATGAAAGTCTGTGTGCTGCACAGACCCTGGACTTTGGTGGTCTTTGACATGGAATTAGTAGAGCATTTAAAATCTAATAAAAATCACCTCATTGCATGGAATTGGAACAAATTAACGATGTCAAGGAGCTGCTGTTTCCTGTTCGGCTGCAGACGTCTCTGACTCTCTGTTTCTTCCTGTTCAGGCTCTGTGTGTACCACCCGTAAGAAGACCGGGGTTGGCTACCCGCAGCTCAGCGCTGTCATTGAATGTGCAGATGCAGCCCACGGCCTGGGAGGCCACATTATATCCGTGAGTTTCCTGGATCGATGCAGTCATTACATTTGGATTTTTGAACAAACTGAATTAACTCAGTTACTTTTCTTATTAGCTGTTTTTTAGTTGCTTAAAACTGATGGCAACATGAGACTGAAAGTGGTCAGAAATGTTGCCGTGAGATATGAAAGACAGAAACTTTTATTTTCATTTTTTTACAAAGGAAACATTGCAGATGTGAGCTAAATTCCCTTAACCTTGAAAAATGTTTAACTTTTTTTGGTGTGAAGGAACCAAACCTAAACACTTAGATTGTAGTTATTAAGAGGAGGATTTTACACCAAACAAATGCATTTTTCTACTATCATGGAGTGGCCTTGTTAATGACCATCTGGCAGGTTTGGATATCTTTTGCAAGGTAGAGGGAGCAAATATTGCCGATTGCGCATGTAGTTTGCAGATAAAGATGCTAACAATCCTGGAAGTGAATCAAAAGGTGAACCAATAAGGTCAGCTTGTATTTTTTTTTTTTATCCTTCTGATATCCCTTTTTCTACCTTTAGCTGCAGCCTGATACCACTTTAGTTTAGGATGAACGCGGCCCTGAACAGCCTGCTGTAAACCGAGCTGACAGCGTGGAAACTTTCCAGGAAGTTCCTCCTAAAATTAAAAAATATTTGCTGTTATAAAGCTGTAAATCAAAAATGATAATTAGATCAAGCAGTGTTCTAACAGGCAAAAAAATAAGATAATATACCAGCATTTAGAGCAACTAGTGGAACTATGATGTTTTATGAGTTTGGTTTGTATGTTTGGATTTAAACTCATAAACTAGACTGTTGTTTGAACCTAGTGATGGGTCCAGCAACACCGATACATGGGTGATGATGTGTGGAGCTCATAGAGCAGAACCGTATCGATGGCCGATAAAGTAGCTGTTTCTAACTGACTCTGACGTGTTAAACTGTCAGCGGGATGCATGTGCTAAAAGAATCTCCAATCTTTTGCATTTTATCATCAAGAAAAATGGAGCAGCCTGAAGGCTAAAGAGAGGTTCCAGCCACATGGGACCATTTCCATCTCTTTTCCTCTTCTAGTGTCATCCTGTTCCTCTCAGCTATGACTCAATTTATCTGAATTTAAATTATTGTTCAATTGATTTAATTTACTGTTCTTACTTTACTTTGAAGATAATATATATATTAAAATCCTAGTTTACAAGTATATTTTCATAAACTACAATTACACTTAATATACCACGTTATATTTTTGCATTATTTGTTACCTGCATCTACAAATAACACATTTATATTTTGAATTTAAAATAAGATATAGAATAATACAGTATAACATACAATGACTTAAATTATATTGCATATTAACTCACCAAATCAGGTTAGTTTGGTCTGTCAAATAGGCCACCTGCAGTGATTTTAAATGTCCACTAGGTGTCAGTGTGAAAAAGCTTCATGACATGTCATCAAGCCATGTTTGTGAAGCTAAGCAACCATTAGGGCTCTAGTTGTGGGTTTGATTAAAGGAAAACTCTGTGGTTTAGTTTAGTGAAAGTAAGTCTGACATAATGATTTACACTTTTGCCGGTGTGCTGAACTGTTTTCATAGAAACTTTCATCTTTACTTATTAGCTATTTGGGATTACATTGCTGCACTTTCTGGTTAAATTATTTTGCATGGTTGTGTTTTATTTTTTGCAAGAAAAACAAAAAGGCCAGAAAATTATGTTTCTGGTTGTTTAGAAAAGAAATAGATGAAGAAAAGGTGTTTTGGATGTTTTTCTTAAGCAAATCCTGATTAAAATAGGTTGGATTGGAGGTTGAAGGGTTCAGATCTGCTCTTTAAACAGAGCCCAGATTGTCTCTTTTCATTCCTTAAGACCAAACTAAATGTGATTCTGGGCCCCATGATCAGTGTAACTGAGCTTCTTCTTTCTGTCCTCTCATTAGAAAATTCATTGAAGCATTTTTAGTCTTTTGCTTGTTTTCAAGTATTGCATAATTCCCCCCCATTGTCTTTTCTCTACAATGCAATCTTCCTCATATGATGATGCATGTTGTCGCTGTTCTGTCCTGCAGGATGGAGGATGTACCTGTCCAGGAGATGTCTCAAAGGCTTTTGGTAAATTTTAATGTCTTAAAATGAACATAGGAAGTAGTAAGTCAGTCAATTTTGTTTACGCAACATAAAAAAAGAAAAACGTACAGAAATAAATAAAACAGACAATGGAAAACAAATCTAAAATGTATTTTGAAAATATCCCAAAGGAGTTATTTTGACTTATTACTAGGAGGTTTTTGATGCGTGTCTATTTATTATAGCAAATATAGTTGTTTTTTTTTCATGTACTGTGTTGCAGCATTGCTGTTTTTCTTACATGAATCTCTCCTATACGAGACTTAAAATATTTTATTTTCTCTAGCTGCCTTTATAAGGAGTCAGGTTTCCGTTCCTTTAAATCAGGGATCTAACCGCTTCCTCTGGGTCCCCTCAGGCGCCGGAGCCGACTTTGTGATGCTGGGGGGGATGCTGGCAGGCCACACAGAGAGCGGCGGGGAAACCATCGAAAAGAACGGCAAGAAATATAAGCTGTTCTATGGGATGAGCTCCGACACGGCGATGAAGAAGCATGCTGGAGGCGTAGCAGATTACAGGTGGGGTATCAGCTGAGAAACAGGCTTTGTTTCTTTAAATAAACTAACCTTATCTGTATCTGACTGATTATCATGATGACGCGTTCACTGTTGTAGAGCATCGGAGGGAAAGACGGTGGAAGTTCCCTTCAAAGGCCCGGTGGACGAAACGATACGGGACGTCCTGGGAGGCGTCCGTTCAACCTGCACCTACGTGGGGGCGGGGAAGCTGAAGGAGCTGAGCCGCAGGACGACCTTCATCCGAGTCACCCAGCAGCTCAACACCGTCTTTGGCAACAGCTGAACATCCAGCAACAGTTTCTAAATCAGCCCATAGGCAGCACCTCTGAAATACTGTCCTTATGTCTGCTTTTAATTCACTATCACATTTTAAGAAACGTTTTCCTCATATATTATCTCTGTTTAGACTTAAAACAATCTCAAGACGTTCCAGGAGTGACAGATATCTGGAAAAAAAAGCTTGAGCTTTGATTCCTCAGCTTATCATTCCTTGTAGTTTCTTCTATTAATACAACTTTTGATCTGTTCATAAACAATAAGCCTGACATTGTCCTGTTCACTGTGCCGAAGTTCTGCTACAAGCCTTCTCCCCCAGTTAATCATTTTGAAGCAAATGTCTTAATTTATTGTAAAATGTTTTATATTATATACAAATTTATTAGCAAATTAGAAAAAGGAACTATTGTTAGAAGATGTATCATTTCAACAGCCATGCTGCGCACTTTAAAATAGCATTTTTGTGTGCTGATTGTTATATTATTGGACCATTAATAGTATATATTAATAAGTGTTAGATCAGGAGCAGAAGGACCAATCAATAAAAAAAATATGTATCTAGTTCAGCTCCTGATCGTACCAAAAATTGTTTTTTTTTATTTGTTTTAGGCTCTATAGTAAGAATTTCAACTTCAGCGCCTTGAGCTATAAATTTTGACACAGTTCATGCAGTTCTTATTTCAAAATGTTCTCTTTTTCTGCTGTTATGCAAAAGTTTGTATTTTAAATCTGTTGCCAAGATCTTAAATAAAATTGGTATTATTTCATAGAGTCAATAAAACATTTAAGCTTTCAGTATTTGTTTGGCTTTATTCTTTATGAAAGAATTTACATTGTCTGTGAAAGAAATAGCTTACAAGCCTTTTACCAATATGATAGAGGAAAATAAATTGATAGAAAAAAAACACATTTTCTGTTTAATGATGCTCCATGCAAATGATAGATTATTTAGCTAACGTAATAGGCTGCAATGAAAAGTAAATCCGAAATTTTTATAAATCCATCAGATTGGCTCCCAAAATATATTCAGAATTAACCATGTAGCCATATATTACAAACATTTAGAAAAGCTTACAAACAACTTCTGTAATCTGCAGAGTGTCAATCATTTCTCCACAGTAGGAGTGGCTGGCCTTTACACGAACAGAATGCAACCGAAGATTAGATTTCATTTGCTGCTGATCGATGTATTGGCCATTTCCCTTTCCTAGCCAAACAAAGGGGACCAGTTCCCAGTTTGGTGTGACCCCAATAAGGAACATTTCTTCCCTCTGGTATCGTCCAGTTCTACTGAAAAAGGAGAGTGTGGAGGCATTGACATCCCATAACACCTCCACCATTTCAGGTCGTGGTATGTCCTCTCCAATCTTGTCTTTAGATGTGAGGAATAGAGACTGAGGACTAAGAGAATTACTGAATCTGAGCTCCCCTTTTCTTTCACCAGAGGATTTTGAACTAAATGGGGCATCTTGATCGCCAGTATATATTGTTGAAACACAGCTCACGCTGTTACCTTCCCAGCTCAGTCCATAGGCTGGTCCTTTCATCGGGTTCTTTGCAGACTGTTTATCACACAAACCGATCATCCAATCAGTCTCATCAGTAAGACTGAGCATCCATCTGTGATAGACAGGATCTGCCCTGGTGCTCTGGATTAGAAGAGTTGCAGAACATTGACCCAGCCACCTGTGGTAGAAAACTGTCCTTTTGTCTTTAGACAGCGACACGCTGGAACTGGAGGTCTGGGGTACAAAGATCAGCTCTGAGGAACCACTGAGATCCTGTTGGCTTTCAGGATCAATCAGGGCCAACAATGATTGTGTAAAGTCAGATGCTTGCTTCTCTATCTTCTCCCCGTTCTGTCTAACCTTCAGGAGCAGTTTATCTCGATGGCTTCCAGGCTCCAAACCTTTCCTCAGATCCACAGCCTTGGCTTTCTCCACATCCTGGTTCACCTGAGAGTACATCTGCAGGAACCTGAAGGTGTCCTTCTCGTTCTGGGCTGCCTCCATGCTGCTCCTGCTGGTTCTGATGGACACCATTCTAGCAGAGACTGAACTTTGGACGCTGCTCAGAGAAATGTCCCTCAGATTAGTCACGGCCTCAATCAGACGCACGCTGCAGCGAGCCAGCTTCTCTCGTTCACTCTTCTCCCACTTCTCCAGACTCATGTTGTCATCCTCAGTTTTCACCTGTAAGGCCTCCTGCTCAGCTTTCAGCTTCTCCAGGAGCTCTTTGTGGGCCGTGGAGAAGGTCTTCATGTTGTGTAGGCGGTGCTGGTCTTCAATGGCACAGGAAACGCAGACACAGGTCTCATCATCCAGGCAGTAGTACTCCAGAAGCTTCCCATGCAGAGGACAT